ATATGCTGATTTATTTCTTTCTTCAGCTTTATGTGTTTTTTTTAGAGCTTTTTGTCCGGATAGAACATATGCATGCAGGATCGAAGCCTAAAAAATAAATTGTATTGTTTATATATAGCTTGTAAATGAATAATGCAGCTTGTTATAAATTATATATGTTGATGATTATATAAAAAATGTTTGGTGTTATCTCATTAATATTTATTTATCATATATTTCAACTCTTTATAAATACAAATGAGTTGTCTATATATATATGTACATGTTCGGTGTACATATATATATATATATATATATATATTATTTCGACATTGTTATCTTAGAGAGATATTTATATGTAGAATCTTATTGGTTATATAGATCTGGTGTTTCCTAATTATTAAAACGTTGAATAACACATTTCTATATCAATGATTGATATTTATGCACTTAACTTTCTAAAATGTAACATGCACTTCAGATATTCATATACGTATTTTTTGTACGTCTAAAATTTAGAAAACTTTAAATGTCGTTATATCGGTTAATTACGACGCAAATTTTGGCAGATAAAGGACTCACAATTGGAAGGAATGGTTTGCTAATACCTCGAATTTCATGCTTTTTCGGCTTATTTTAATTGAAAGGAATGGGTTTAATAATTTATATAAACACAAATTGGTTCCTATATATATATATATATATATATATATTACAGTTTCAAAACGCACACAAGAGAAATGAATATATATATATATATAATATATCTCTGTATTTTTTCTTTGCTTTGGTGGGCGGCGATCAATATATTTTATACATGCTGCGGTAACAGCAAACAAGAATATATGTGCCCTAAAGATCGCAAAATCTTTTTTGTCACAAAAGATAATATATATATAATAGGGAATACTTTCAAGTAACTGATCTTTCATAGAGAAAGATCATAATAAGCTTTTATTTTAATTCCTCTTTAGTGGAATTCATAGTCCCTGTCTACATAATAATGTCTCTTTCACAACTTTTATGTATCAACCACCACTCTCTAGGGCCTCCATTTTATATTTTGCCTGCTTCTTTTATATATTTCTTAGTAGTTTGCTTTGTTCTATGTATACTCCTTTTCTTTCCTTTTCTTTTTCTTGCTTTATATTATGTATAGTCAAACAAGTTATTATTAAAATATCTTCAACGTTGTTCTTGCCAAATTTTTTTAAAAAAATTTTAATTTGTGTCTATATATGATTGTTGATTTTAAAAATTATCCAAAAAAGATCAAAATTTTAGATTAAGACTTGAAGTTTGTTGGGGTTCCCCTAAATTATAAAGAGTCTAAAGAATGAGTTTTGTGGATAATACCACTTAATATAAGTTTTATGTTTTATGATTAATGATTAGTTTTGAGAAAAAAAATTATTGAGAAGAGAGAATTGGACAATTGGAAGAATCAATAATCACGAGATACAATCTTAATTTAAGTAACTGCCCTTGGCTGGTCATCATAAGAAGAATTTCTCATAATCAAACAATGCGAAGGTAAATTACTCTTTTGATGTTGATAGGAGAATAATCCTAACAGATAAATGTATGAAAATCAAACAATAATAATAAATGTGGAAGAATAAAAATAAACTACGATCTGTATGACTTGTGTTTCTGAATAAAAATGGGATCTAATATTGCGGAGAGATTGTTTGGATTTGAAGAGCTAAGACTGAATTACATACAGGTCTCTCTGCAAGATTCTATTCTGAAAGCTGCGATGGGATTCGAACCTCAGTCATCAGCTTACTCGAACCTCGACTCAATCCTAGTACCTGAGCTGCAAGACAATGAAGAAGCAATTTTGTGTTCCTACACTTCATGGCTAGTAAGCTCCTAAACTTGCTCTCACCCAATCAATCATCCATCTCAGAATTCTCATTTAATAAGAAAAAATCTATCTCTTATTTCTCTTCAGTATTCTTTCTGTTCATGGTTTTCTCTTTAAAGGAATTTCTTTACATGATATGCATATGGATTTGATGGTATAATTAGTTCAGAATATAAGCTCGGGTCATATTAAGTATTATTTTTATTTGCGGCCGTAATATCAATGTATTTGAATTAAATACCCTTGTGTTTGCTCATGGCTAAAATTGCCGAGTATTAGCCTCTCTCTATGGTTTTTCTGAGTTACTTGCGTGTGAAGTAATCCTATGCTGTGGGGCTACCAGGAAAAGCATCCCTCTGCATTGGACAAGTTTGAGGAAATGATGAGCATTGCTAAAGAAAAAGAGATTGTTGTGTTTTTGGACTATGATGGAACTCTCTCTCCCATTGTTGATGACCCCGATCGCGCTGATATGACTGATGCTGTAAGTGCTTTCCATGTCAGCAAGCAACACCATATCATCAGTGCCATTTTTGACAGTTACAAGTTTTCAAAGAAACTGAGAATATACAAGTCTTCGTTTAGAGTTAATGCTTTTAAAAGTTGAAGCGATTAATATTAATTTACATTTTAGACTATTTCTGTTGCTTCGATTTCCTCCTCACTTTACATTTTACAAACATAAATGATTTTGCAGATGCGCACAGCAGTAAATGAAGTCGCTTGCTGTTTTCCTACTGCAATTGTCAGTGGAAGGAGTAGACAAAAGGTGTGGTTAAAAATTGTTCATACAGTACTCAGACATCTTATTTGAAGCCTGCAAGATTTTCTTCCAGTTTTCTAGCTCTTATTTACAATTCAAAATATTAACTTTGACACGTATAGGTACGTGAATTTGTGAGGTTGAGAAATGTCTATTATGCTGGAAGCCACGGGATGGATATCTCAACCCCAAAAGGCTCTTCGAAATCTGAAGATCAGAAACATGAGACCAAGGCTGTTGATGAAAAGGTTCCTTAAAGTTTACCTTTTTACCTACTAGGCTCTTCAAAGGATACTTGTTTTGTTCTATGCGTTTTTTTTAATAAGATTTCCCTTTCTAGGGTAACCAAGTAGTTCATTTTCATCCTGCAGAAGAATTCCTGCCAACTATCAAAGAGGTAATTTCCCTTTTCCGGTTTTAAAATAACAAGAACAGATTGCGTTCATCTTTTGAAGTTTAACCTACCTTACCGCAATGTACGAATCTGAAACAGATAATTCAGGTTCTGAAAGAAAATGTTCCAAGAGTAAAGGGGTCCAAGATAGAGGACAATATGTTCTGCATCACTGTACACTACAGGCTTGTGAAAAATGAAAAGGTGACAACACTACTCAGACTACCAGATCTTAATACTAGTTCAGATGCTAATATTGTTGCTTTCAAATGATAGGAAGTTGGTATTCTCAGAAAGATGGTGGAGTCTATTATGGAAGCTTACCCCAATTTTCACATATCAGGAGGAAGAAAGGTATATTCAACTCTTCAAGCAGTCATTCTATGCTTTGAAAACTATTTTTAAGAACATGCAGATAAAAATTATTGGATTAATCATTCATAAATAATAAAGCATTCTATGGTTTTCCCAACTCTTGCTCAGGTCATAGAGATACGCCCAAATATAAGTTGGGATAAAGGCTGTGCCGTGCAGTATTTGCTTGGCACTCTTGGCTTTGATAGCTTTGACAAGATCATACCACTGTACATAGGGGATGATACAACTGACGAAGACGCTTTTAAGGTATGCTTTTATTATCTTTTTAATTTTATAGGGGTGTTTTAAACTTGTTACAATCCCTAGTTGAAAATATCTTTGTATCCTCTAGAATACCCTAAAGAAATATGGAGCAAGTAAATCTTAAGTCGTAAGCTTGAGATAAGGGAATTTAACATGTGGATGACTGCAGGTTATAAGACGCATTGGACAAGGTTTTCCGATCATTGTTTCTTCAAAAGCTAAGGAGACCAAAGCTTCTTATTCTCTGCGCGATCCTGATGATGTTTATCTTTCCTAATGCGTCTTGCTAAGTGGAGGAAAAGCTTGTTATAAGAGCTAAAGCAAATTGACAAGCTTCAGAAGAAGTTATGCAGATAAAAGTAAAACTAGGCTAAATTGCTTGTGCTTTCTGCATACTGAGAGAACGGCAGCCATAGGGGTTTGACACTAACTGGGAGGCATGCTATATAAAGAAGAAACGAACATGAAAGATTGCTAGGTTTTAGGAAAAGTTTTAAGATTTTGTTTCTATTTGTGTAAAGAGGGTAACAACTAAGAAGTTGTCGTAGGCATATATAAAACCATTGAGAGCTTAAGAGGTCGGATACTTGGATGCTTTGCTCCAATACACTAATGGACTACGTAATACCGTTGCAAGGGAATTCTTGTTCATCCGTTTTCATATTTTATTTTTACTGATGTCTTTCACCAATTGACAGAATTGCAGTTCAAGTCTCATTTGACAATCTTCCGTACCAAAAACGAAATATCTAAAACAGTACCAGAAATTCCATTTAGCATATGTATTCAAGAAAACATTTTGCAACCAACAAAAGAGAAAAAAGAAATCAACTCCTTCTACAAATCATATCTACTCTTTCCTCCTATTCTTAATGTAACAACTACTTAATTAATGTAAATTATCAATGAAGTTAGACAAACTAATTAATTATAATGAATGTGACTTGATCCCTATAAAATACACCTTATAAAATACATGGGTGTATTTGAATTATTGTTGATGGAGTATTAATAAAAATAATTTGAAAAAAATGACAAAATATGAAAGACACAGCAAACTAACATCTCATATTTAAAACCAAAATTAACCCAATTAGTTCTTAGATTTAAGACAAGAGGAAATACAAGAAATAGAAAAGAAGCAGCGTCCAAAAAAACAAAAAAGAAAAAGCCTCCATACTTCTCACACAAAAAAGAGGAAATGGTGTTTAAATAACTAGACTTGAGACGAAAAAACAATATCTATTCAACTCATAACTACACTTGAGAGGAGCAGCCTAGGAATGATATCGTAAATGAACAGAACAGGCATGAAAAGAATATGACAAACCTGGCAAAGCAAAAGAAAACTGAAAAGAAGTTGGGACTGGAGAAACGTGGGTTTAAATGACGTATTATTAACTTCTGATATTGTTACTGCTACAGTGTAAAAGGCGCTATGAGGATTCGACGAAGATCTAATGCATCCTCTAAAACAATATCCTACTCCACTGTCATGGAGTGTGGCTGGGAAAAAACCTGTAACTAGGTAAGAAGAGATATCTAAATTCTGAACCTAAAGGCCACTTTTCTACACTGATACTGTTACAACTGTATCAACCTTCAATGGCAAACTAATCACCAAGTTAGGCATCCCTCTTTTGTCACCGTGGCTTCATCCTTTGAACAAGGTGTTAGGCACAAATATAAACGAAGGTGGTTAATAGCTTGGTAAGTGTACATGATGCAACATCTGAGCCACAAGAGAGGCAACTTTCACATGAAAGATCGACTATGATTCGAACAAATAAATCTTCCCACTCAACTGTGGGATGAGAACATGAATGATGCCTCATTGAGGGTAGTTTTCTCATTGTAGTTTTCTCCACTCAACTTGTCTCCCAGGTCCTAATAAGGAGGCAGAATACCATCCTCCTCTTTCAACCTCGAATTGCTCCTTGGCCGCTGATCTGGCAAAATAATCAAGTTCACCTGGAACGAAGAGGTTAAGACATAAATAAATATCACTGACGTGAAAACTATGATTAAAAATATAAGCTTTAACATAACCAATATGTATCATCACCAGGTAAATTCATAAGTAACACATCTACAAGTAGAGTAAGAATTCACAAAAATTACGTGGATCCAGCTAATTTTCAGAGCTGTCAGATATATAGGTGTTTGCCATTGGGTTTTTTGATAAAACATTCCATGTGTACCATTTTTCCAATTAAGAACCTTACCATTGGCTGCCAGTTCCATTGTCAAAAATTCATTCAAAAAAAAAACTCACCTAAAAACTGGACACGAGTTTTGCGGTCATGCGACCATTTCATTATTGCATGGTCTTAGACTTCTTTGACTATTCTCTTTGGTCCTATCCAGTAAAAGGCATGAGCAGATGGGGTAAGCTACCTTGAGAGGTGGGGTGAAGAGGGTTGATCTGGTGAGGATCGATGAGCAGAACCTCCATGAAACCTTTGCTCCTCAAACGCTCCACCAGATCCGCTTCCCTCATTTAGTGATACTTCATGAACACCTGAGAAACCCATAGATCCAAAAGATCCAAACTCCAGGTGTTCTGCTGGTGAACTGTAGCCAGCATTATGCTGGTAAGGGTACAGCATCACAACTGATGGCATTGCCGGTCCATTTGATGAGACCCCACTGGGGTTCATGCCAGGCAGAGAATACATCCCATATGCCACATTGGAAGAAGTGTTCTGTGAGGAATTTGAGCGTACGGGACCATTCTGAGTGTGGTAAGACATAGAGGAGTCATGTCTATGCGACCGCCATGGCCTTTCAGCTCGGCTCTCACTTGTTGCCAACCTCTCTGGCTTTGAGTTTGGCCTCTCAGTTTGGAAGCGATTATGACCACGTCCAGTTGCTCGCATCTTTGAACTCATGTTCCAGTTTCCTTCCCTGTCACCATGGTGTTCACCTCTCTCATAGTTGTAATTTCCCCTTCGGTTTGCAGATTGTCGGTCTCGAGCAGAGACTTTCTGAAGTAAATGAACAGAAGCCATAATAATATAGAATGTCAAAATAGAAGGACCATAAGTAGGCAGTAACATATCTAATATGCAATTTGTCCAAAAACTAAATGCATAGGATTGCCTGTATGCTTGGCTGATTAATAAAAGAATTAAAAATTTTCACTAGCTTAATATTTATATAAAATAATGGCTTCTATTTTCCTGAACGGATATTATTGGAGTTGTAAGTGTTCTTGGGCTTCTTCAATTATATTTTAGACGTGTGTTTGTATAAGAAATGCACAGAACAACTTATTAAAGTTCTTGGAGACGTATCTTACAGGATTTGGCAGGTATGTTCCAGTGCCACTTCGATATCGTGGCATCTCATCCGCAAAACGTTGGTAAATATTGGCAGGTCTGTTCAAAACCGACTGAAGAGGGGCAACAGGAACTAGTTGTGGCCCATAGTTCATAAACTGAGCAAAAAGATTCATGTTAGTTGAAAGAGGTCTTCCAGGACCATCCCAAGGAAAACGACCCTGCAAATAAACAGGAGGCACAGGTGAAGGATGGATCATTGAAGATGGATGGCGTGAGTTTTGACAAAATCGCCCATATTGCAAATTTTGCCAATGGCTCGCAAAGTCACTGTTAAGAATGTCAGACTTGTGCTCTGATGACTCAAAAACAGCCCTTCTAGTAGAATTAGGAGGACTTGACACCTCAGGCTGCTCATACCCCTCAGATGAATCAAATTCTGACCAGAATCACTGTTATCCATCAATTCTTCCCCATTATTGCTTGTTGATGTGTCAGAAGTTCCTGACTCAGTCGGAAAATTATATACTGGAAGCATAGTAAAAAAGGGTACAGGTGGCCCTGTAGGATAAAAATGCAAATGGAACAACCCAGAATTATCAACTGCCCTTGGCGAGAACCTGCTCCTAAAAGAACTGGATTTATAGGTATCGGTGAATCTGAT